GTCAGACTGCAAAGCCACTTGAACTGCAAGGTTGGTGGTTCAAGCTCATCAGTCGCTCCTCAGAAACCCTATAAGGGTCACTATGGGTCTGAACCAACTCAATGGCATTTAACAACAACAAACCATCACACCTTTCTTCTAAGGTGTTGTAGGTAGCCTTGAACCTTCAACCTTTTAGCTAGCCCCTAAATGTATTAGCCAAGGAGCTCTAGTAGCGTAGTGGTTATGAGTCAGGCTGCCAACCTGAAGGTCTGCAGTTTGACACTACCAGCGGTTCCGTGGGAGAAAGATAAGGCGTTCTGCTCCCCTAAAGGTTTACAGCCTCGGAAACCCTGTACAAGGTCTCTATGAGTCAGAACCAACTCCACGGTACTTAACAACAACAACAAGTGTATTAGCCGTTTGCATAGAGAGCAAGGGCAGCAACACTGTTTCTGTGAGATCTGGGGAAAGGTCCTTGTTTCCTTTCAGATCTGTTGGCCCAGCATTCCCTGGACATCTCCTTGTGTTTTGCCATCAATCTTACACTGGATTTAGGAGCTTCACAGTGCAAGGACTCCAGGTCCAAAGGGCATCCTTCACCCCCAGCTGTTCTTTCTTGGCGGCAGTGTGTTGTTGTTAAGTCCCAGTGAGTCTGTTCTGACCCATAGTGACCCAGCATAGGGTTTTCGAGGAGCGGCTGATGAGCTTGAACCACTGATCGTGCACGACCTTGCAGTTCAGACCAAACTTGCAGTCCAGCGCATTAACCCACAGCGCCACACCAGGACTCGGTCCCTCTGATCTCTGTTCACTTCTTTCTCCTTTGAGCTCTTGTAAGTCTAAGGTGTTGTAGGCCACACCCAGGGGAAGTCCTTTTACATTGGATCAGTGCTATAATGGCTGCTTCATCCCACTCTTAATCTAACTGGTTTATCACTTCATGGGGGTTATCCCATAATTACCACTTTATATTATTACAAACCACTGAGAATGTGGCTGACAACAGATTTTGAGGGAGACACAAATCAGTTCCCGACCAAGGAAGAAAGCTTTGGTGGAAATGAAAACTGCAGATCACTTTACAGCAGGATTTATGGAACCAATGTTTATCTCTCTTTTAGTTTTGATTGCCAACCCAAAGCAGAAGCTGATCTGGGCCATAAGCATAACCATGGTGGGCGTGGTTTTCTTTGATTTTGCTGCTGACTTCATCGATGGGCCCATCAAAGCCTATTTATTTGATGTCTGCTCCCATCAGGACAAGGAGCGGGGTCTCCACTACCATGCCCTCTTCACAGGTAAGGAATATTCCAGAATGTCTCTCCTCCAGGCCCCGGGAGAAGCTGTCCAAGTTCTCTACACAGTGAACTTTTTGAATGAATGCATCTGTTGATGGGTGGCACCATCACGTGAGCTCCATCTGCAGTACGTTTCTGAAAAAAACAAAACAAAAAAAAACATCTGACAAAGTCAACATGTGACTGCGGGCTGTGTGTTCTTGCAAAAAAGTTCACATAAGAG